AACCGACCTGTGAGATTTATATTTATTTAATTTATATGAATTTATATTTACGTTAATTTATATACTTCGATAGCAATTTGTATAATGTTAAGTGGACTGTATTTCTGCAATAATCTCATAATCTCACAAATCGATCCTCTACACATTAGGGGGGTTTATTAAATTAATATATATGCAGCCAATCAAACTACAGTAATAGCTACATACATTGATGAGGTTCCTTATCTTATAGTACAGCAGGTTAGTCCACCAGGTATAACTAGGGTGTAGACACCAAATTATCCTCTTTGAGGTAGCTTTCATCACCCAGGTAACTGGTGCACAAACTCTTCCTCGTCTTGACCTGTCAAAAGGGCGCTAACTGTGAAGCCAGATACCTATATATGACAAGTTATATCAGAGAAAACACTATACAGTACATGGAACATTGAAGACCTGGCTTAATTACCTTTAGTTTGAGGCTTCCACGTGATCTAACCGGATCACCCTATATCCTGACATTAATGGCCATAAATGAATGATAAACGGGTTTCGGAAAGAACACTTAACTTGAATTGTAGACAGCGTGTTGAAAAATGGTACACCTTTGGTTTCCATAACACTACGTCCAAGTAAATTTAACAGGAGCCGAATTTGCTCCCGTGTGAGCCTCTGGTCTCAATATAAACAATGGCTGTTTAACACTCCATACTATTGACGTTACTGGCCGACATTGTCCAGAATGATAGGAGCCGAATTTGCTCCACACGTCTCGGAGGTGACACAACAATGGCTCCCCCCTTCCTCCCTGACGCCTGGCCTACTTTGTCCACATGTCAGAAAGTGATAGAAGGGTCACATTTACTCTACTTTAATATTGATAATTAAGTTAATTTATATAAGATGTTTTTATGATGGTAAAGTCCAAAGACTAATGTATTTAAGAATAATTCCCAGCAGAATAGCTGGTGAATTATAATGGTATGTGGTGATGATATCCCGTTTTCTTTAGATGGTAATTCCACTACAAGTTACGTTTTCTATGGGTAACTTGTTGGTAATACAGCTATTATCTGTATGATTATTAAATGGTGTCGGATTTTCCGACATAATTCCCCAGGGTGCTGCTCATGGGTCGAAGTCCTATTTAGAACAGACGAACACCGATACTCCTCCTTCGAATTATTAGATTAATTTGATGTTAGTAGTTAGTAATCACACATTTGTGCGTCTGTTCGTACAGGACGGATGTCCCGTACTAGAGTTGCAGGGGTTAGAAGTCTAATGCGATTTCATTTCCCTGTCAACTCTTGAAAGGCTAATATTCAAGCCTAATTACATATTATTTAACCCAGAAGACTGGATGTGATCAAGTACTACAGTCAAGTATGATTCAGGGACTGCAGTGAGATCAGTGACATTAGATATAACTTGAAGTTTCTTCAGGTAACTGGTCACTGATATATAAACACTGAGGCCCATGGAATACATCTTGATTAAATAATAAATGTATCAAATCAGTCATCAGATTTATTGGGGTTTAATTTAGTTAATTGATTCAGAAGATTGAATAGCTCATCATTAAAGTAAAGTATGGTTCTGAGACTGCAGTGGGTTCAGTGACATTGGTCGCAGTGACTTGTAGCTGTTTTAGGCTACTGTTCACTGATTTGCCACTGAGGCCTCATGAACTCATCTTCAGCTTTAAATGATGATACTAACATCAACCTCTGTTACTATACTCAGCTGTAATCTCCTTAGTATAATGCTACTGGAGAAATATAATCAGCTGACAAATTTAGGTTTCTACTGGTATTGTTTATCTGCAGGCATAGGTCTCCTCAGGCTTGATACTGGGCCTGAGAGTAATTTACCTCCTGCAGAGTTTAACATGGTTATGCCCTGATATTTAGTAGGGCTACCAATGAATTGATGGTAGTAGTCTGTCCCCACAAGGACAGCCATTTGGCATTTGATTTGCTCAAATTTACCTGCAGCTGCTTGATAATAGCTTTCCAGGTCAGCATAATCAACTTGAGATTGTTGTGACAAATCTTCACATTTCTTGATCTGTCTTGTTAAGTGGCCTTTAAGACCTGCAAGGGTTCTTTTCATTCTCCCTGCATTATCCATCCTGGCTAGTTGGTGAAGCCTTGTGGGGCTTGTACTTGGGCTGCTCATAATACTGAACAAACACTAATGGTAGCCTAGGGTAAATTCTGAACTCACTAGGCAATAATCCTACCTCTACTAGAGGTTAGCACTTAAAATTAATACACATTATATACATATACAATCATACACACTAATGATTTGAGTGATAAACCAGTGTCATGGAAGTACCTTTAGGTTAGCTCTTCTATGTCACCATAGGATGGAATAGACACTAATTAATCACTCAAAGGTGTAATGATCATAAGTAAATTATTATATATACACAACTCAACTCGAGTTGATAAAATTACACCCAAAATAGGGTCTGGACCATTCATTAATGGTGTTGGTTGATCAATATAGTACAACTGACTATGGTAATAATGGGACTAGGATGAACGATAATAGTTCAACTAGTCAATGGTTTTATCCTACCCTGTTGTGGGTTGGCAATTAGTAAATATTATACTGTGATCACTAGTGCAATATATATTAAATAATAATCTATTTTGGAGAAATAATATACACAATTATTGATAATAGCCTCTTAATTAGCCTCTATGAAACTTCTAATATTATCTAGAAGTATTAAATATTATTAGTGACCTCGCGAAATAAACTCCACAAAATTCGTAGATAATCTCTCGCGAAATGTAACACCACGAAATCCGTGAACAATCTCGCGACATAGTCACTAATTTGGCTGGCTTTTATATTAGCGCTGTCATTTCACGAAATAACACGCCACCAAATATCTGTGGGTGTGCATGAAACCGCTGACGAAGCTGAACTCAGTTGAGGGAGGCTCCTGAGCTCCCTCGAGGCTACGCTGCCGTCTTGACTGCTGGCTTTGTTTAAATAACACTGCACTAGTTTATTTAATGAATCCACTGGTTAACTGGTTCATCTGGTACTAAGATGACCAAATGTGGGTTCAAAGGACCGAATATTCCGGTTCCGAAGGTCCAAATAATGTGGGAACCGACCTGTGAGATTTATATTTATTTAATTTATATGAATTTATATTTACGTTAATTTATATACTTCGATAGCAATTTGTATAATGTTAAGTGGACTGTATTTCTGCAATAATCTCATAATCTCACAAATCGATCCTCTACACATTAGGGGGGTTTATTAAATTAATATATATGCAGCCAATCAAACTACAGTAATAGCTACATACATTGATGAGGTTCCTTATCTTATAGTACAGCAGGTTAGTCCACCAGGTATAACTAGGTTGTAGACACCAAATTATCCTCTTTGAGGTAGCTTTCATCACCCAGGTAACTGGTGCACAAACTCTTCCTCGTCTTGACCTGTCAAAAGGGCGCTAACTGTGAAGCCAGATACCTATATATGACAAGTTATATCAGAGAAAACACTATACAGTACATGGAACATTGAAGACCTGGCTTAATTACCTTTAGTTTGAGGCTTCCACGTGATCTAACCGGGTCACCCTATATCCTGACATTAATGGCCATAAATGAATGATAAACGGGTTTCGGAAAGAACACTTAACTTGAATTGTAGACAGCGTGTTGAAAAATGGTACACCTTTGGTTTCCATAACACTACGTCCAAGTAAATTTAACAGGAGCCGAATTTGCTCCCGTGTGAGCCTCTGGTCTCAATATAAACAATGGCTGTTTAACACTCCATACTATTGACGTTACTGGCCGACATTGTCCAGAATGATAGGAGCCGAATTTGCTCCACACATCTCGGAGGTGACACAACAATGGCTGCCCCCTTCCTCCCTGACGCCTGGCCTACTTTGTCCACATGTCAGAAAGTGATAGAAGGGTCACATTTACTCTACTTTAATATTGATAATTAAATTAATTTATATAAGATGTTTTTATGATGGTAAAGTCCAAAGACTAATGTATTTAAGAATAATTCCCAGCAGAATAGCTGGTGAATTATAATGGTATGTGGTGATGATATCCCGTTTTCTTTAGATGGTAATTCCACTACAAGTTACGTTTTCTATGGGTAACTTGTTGGTAATACAGCTATTATCTGTATGATTATTAAATGGTGTCGGATTTTCCGACAATATTGTTTATCTTGTGTATCTTCTGCGTTAGAGTGAAACAGTAGACAATAATTATTAAGGAAACTGAAGGCGGCTTATTGGTATATAGGAGGCAGCTCCTATATATATATATCCAACCAAACTCATTCATTTGCCAGTCATTTTCCATTTATCAAAACCAGTATTTACCCAGGTCTTTCCTAAAGTTTCCAAACCAGTATTTACCCATGTCTTTCTTAAAGTTTCCAAATCAGTATTTATCCTGGTCTTTCCTAAATTTTCCAAACCAGTATTTACCCAGGTCTTTCCTAAAGTTTCCAACCCCGTATTTAACCAGGTCTTTCCAAAAGTTTCCAAACCAGTATTTAACCAGGTCTTTCCTAAAGTTTCCAAACCAGTATTTACCCAGGTCTTTCCTAAAGTTTCCAAACCAGTATTTACCCAGGTCTTTCCTAAAGTTTCCAAACCAGTATTTACCCAGGTCTTTCCTGAATCCAAACTTATCTATCGTATATCCACTGTTTCGTTTTCTCTTTTTTTAACACATTAATATCCCCCCTTTTATCTACTTGTGCACTTCAGTAACGTCACCACAAACTCTTCGCCTTTCTAAACCATATAAATTAATATATAAATTAAGATGCGTTGGTGGTGAAGGAGATACGAACCCCCGGTGTAGTGGAAACCAAAATATCCCAAGTAAAATCATCGCAATTTAAAATAAAGGTTTTCAAAACTTACGTGCAACCCTAACCTCGATTTTTACCTGTCTTGATAATCATATTAGAACTTCATACTGAAGGAAACAATGACAGTCTGCTTTTAAGATAAGTATATTTGTCACGCCTCTCATCAGCCAGTCGCACATGCAAGACAAACTGCATCTCAAGTGTGTGTATGTGTGTTGTTGCAGAGCTCTTCCAGCGCTGGCAACTGTCTCGATTGATTGATTGATGAAGATTAAACCACCACAAGAGGTGACACGGGCATGAGTATACCCCGTAGGTGGTAGATGTATGGAGTGAGTGTGGTGTTAGGTCGTGTAAAGCTGCTTCCTCTCTGATGTTTACTTGTCTTAAGGCTCAGGTGGCAGGGAAGTTTCCGTGGCTGGAATTGTCTCGTTAAACGCCTCGGTGGCAGGGGCGGTAGGTGTAGGTGGAGCAGTAGAGGCCGTAGGCACAGGAGTAGAAGGGGCACCAGAAGAGGCCGTAGGCACAGGAGTAGAAGGGGCCGTAGACACAGGAGTAGAAGGGGCACCAGAAGAGGTTGTAGGCACAGGAGAGGAAGTCGACCGCTCGAACAAGCCGTTGATAAAGTCGACTAACTTGCCGTTGCTGATTCTGATCTCGAGCATGTCGAGGAGCTCCTGGCCGTGGGCGCTGAAGAACTCGTTGAACAGCGTGCCCAGGTCCGTCCCGGGCATCACGCCCTCGAAGTTCACCTGCCGAGGAGAGCACATCTGCGTTACCACATATTATGATACCTGCATCACCAGGTGTCTTACCACACACACACACACACACTATGGACTCCTGCCTCACTAGTTCATTCACCGGGGCCCTTCATTCAACACCTGCGTCACTACCTCCTTCATTCAACACCTGCATCACCACCTCCTTCATTCAACACCTGCGTCACTACGTCCTCCCTGAATATGTGTATGTACACGTGTGCGTGAGGGTACATCCATCATTTATGGGTATACCCTTATCCATAATGGATGAGGGTACTATGATCCCAAAGAGATTTTTCCCTAGCGAGTGGACACGACTTCAAATTCCCTGGGGCCAGATTCTCGAAAGCACTTACGCAAGCACTTACGAACCTGTACATCTTTTCTCAATCTTTGGCGGCTTTGTTTACAATTATTGAACAGTTAATGAGCTCCGAAGCACCAGGAGGCTGTTTATAACAATAACAACAGTTGAATGGCAAGTTTTCATGCTTGTAAACTGTTTAATAAATGTAACCAAAGCCGTTAAAGATTGAGAAAAGATGTACACGTTCGTAAGTGCTTTCGTGAATCTGGCCCCTGGATAGTTAATGCTAACGAGAACCATTTCCAGTGACAAGCGTTGACTTATGGAGATCCAGATTGACTGGAAAGGACTGTAAAATGTTCCCTTACCGTCCAGCGTCTCATTTCCAGATTAAGGGAAGCGTTATCGAAGTTCAGATAAAAGCTGCTGACCCTGTAGTCGATGAAGCCTTTTCCTTCTATATTGATATCCAAGTTCTCGATAACGATTCTGATGAAAGGGAACCAATACGCCAGTTAGCGAATTTTATGCTGCCAAGGCTGAGCTGTGTAACAATGGAGGAACTATGTTACAAGGAGGAGCTATGTCAGAGGAAGATCGAGAGCCGGGGATGACTGAACATAATATAAGAACATAAGAAAAGAACTTAAGAACAAAAGAAAATAACATAAGAATAGAAGAACATAAGCACAAAACGTAAGAACAAAAAGACCATAACAGAACACAGGAACTTAAAAACAAAATAATAAGAACATCAAGAGCATAAACGAAAGAATATAATAACAAAAGAACATAGAAATATAAGTATATAAGCATGGAGAGGTCCACAGAAGGTCCACCAGAGTATTCGAACCCACACTCCAGAGGTTCAATGCCTAGTATTTCACCTGGCAATGTGACCCCCCTCCCCCCATCAAATCAAAACACTAATTCCAACACACACTCCCTCATGCAGGGAAAGGATGAGTTGGGTTGGTTTAGTTCCCCTCAGGTTACGTTAGGCTAGGTTAAATTAGATCAGGTTAGATTTGGTTAGGTTAAATTAGTTTAGGTTCGAGATCCCCAGCGAAGAACGACTACCAGCAAAGACCACCTCGCACTAGCACCCATCTCTCACATCGAGACATCAACCAGCTCAGTCACACGACGATGTGTACTAACTCGGCCGGTCCTCGTCCCTCCAAGTTGATGTGGTCGACCAGAGTGCCGTTCATGATGTAAGCGGCCGAGGACAGCGTCAGCTGCGGAGCGGCGAAGTTCAACACGATGTCCATCTTGCCGTCTGCGACGTTCGTCGTGGTGCAGTTGTACGCGTTGAACGTGGTAACGCCCTCCACCTTCGGCTCGTTCATCGTCAAGGTCATGCTGAAGGGCACGAGAGATCGTATTATTAGAGCTTCAGGTGTTGGATCTGCAGAGAGAGAGACAGACAGAGAGAGAGACAGACAGAGAAAGAGACAAGAGACAGAGTACACTTCCTGGGCCCCCCAAGTCAGTAATCAAGCAATGTGTAATCAGCTCACGTTGACTTATCAGTACAACTATATCATTAAGACCACCACAAACAAACAAGGTTCTTATAGATAAGCCTTAAACACATACTCACTCGGCCATATAATCAACGTTGAGGTCCAGAGATAACGGCTCCATCAACTCCCACGGGTCGCTTATTTTATTCAGATAATTTTGTAGAAATAAATTAACGAATTTCGTGATTACCAGCGCTGTGGAGGAAACCATAGTTAACGTTAATAATCACATTTATATAAGTTAATGAAATTCGTTATAATTTAAGAGAACGAGACGTGTTCTTAATCTATTATGCTAATACATCTAGATATAGATTGTGATAAATAACACACTTTTGTTGTAGAACAACAAAAGTGTTGTAGAACAATCTATGTTCTTTTTGTTGTAGAACAATCTTGTTTACAGTCACTAAGAGAGTAACTGTAAACAAGATTGCTCTACATCAGAGGTGTACGCCGCTTTTCGGTGAATATATATACAGAGTTTACTGAGGTCCTCAACTATGTTTAGGACCACAGTAAACTTGCTGGTTGGTCAGTAAACACCTTCATATTGGCCTTCATAGATATGACCCCTGATATGACCCCAATATGACCCCTCCAGAAGTTGATGGGTCTTAAACCCAACACAAACCCAAACCTTCCTCCTGGTCAAGGATTATACACTCAGGTGTACCCTGTTACTCTGTGTACATACACTTAGAGTTTAATTTTAGTCCTGAACTGAAGTATACTGAAACTGAAATAGAAATAAGTTTATTGAGGTAAAATACACACAAAGGGATGAGGTAGCTCAAGCTATTCTCACCCCGTTCAGTACATCGTGTTAATACATACATAGACACACATCACAATCAATAAACATATTAAAAAGTATACTTGCCGGTTGTTCAGTAAGCCATTGTGGTGGTTTTAATAACCCGTCAGAGGCTGATAGAACATAAGACCAACGAACTTCAAATAGATTTTCTATTGGTTTGATAGAACATCAAATTAATTTTATATTTTGCTCTCAGCGTCCCATATATTACGTCAAACACATCTGTTTTAAGAGTGATCCCTTATCCACCAGATCCTATCACTTATCTACTTGATTCTATCCTTTATCAACCTGATCCAATCCCTTATCCTGTACCTTAGCCATCTGATTCCAATTTCTAATCCGGTGGATCATGTCCCTTATCCACTTGATTCAATCCCTTTAGGTCTTACTACCAACTTGACCTCACCATGACCTTGTATGACCTCACCCATGATCTTTCGTGCCGTGACTATCACTGACACTAAATAACCCATGACCTTGCGTGACCTTACCTTGGTTGACCTGCAGGAGGGTCACCAGCACCACCATGGCCACTATCCCTCTCATCCTCAAGGATGGTCCCTGCGTCACGGCGCCTGAAGGATCAAAATGTAAAGTAAGAGTTCCAGTACTCTTATATATCCTGAAGTAGTTTAGTACCCTAGTGCCTGGTACATCAGCCCTTTAGCAGTGTACAGTGGGGGGATCATTTAGAGGTACATAGTCTGTGTAGACTATGTCCTGTAGTCCTGTAGAGGGCTCTATAGGGCTCACATAAAGTTGGTGGTCCTGTAGAGGTATGAAATGTGGCGACCAACGTGACCTTGTATGGTATACAGGAGGATGTGGTATACCACTACAGGAGCCCTGTATTGACATACATTGGGTGCAGTGTAGATGTATTCAGTGCTCACCTAGTTGCACTCACCTAGTTTTGCTTGCGGGAGCTTCGCCTCTTTGGTCCCGCCTCTCAACTGTCAATCAACTGGTATACAGGTTCCTGAGCCTACTGGGCTCTATCATATCTACATTTAAAACAGTGTATGGAATCATATCACTGCCTAGCACAGTGGGTTGCCCTGTAGGGCCATACAATAGATGAACACTGTACAGGTACCTTGAGGTTACCTTGAGAGGATTTCGGGGCTTAGCGGCCCCGCGGCCCGGTCATCGACCAGGCCTCCTATACTATAGTGGTAAATGTGTCTGTGATATTTAGTTCGCTATGTCTTCCTTAACACAGAGAAGTAAATATCATAGCAACAACAGGAAACCAAGACACATAGTGGGAATGAAGATGAACAGGATAAAGAACGAAGATGTGTTGAACAAATGAGCGATAAAATATGGATATTCAGTTGTGTACTCAAAAATACACACACACACACACACACACACACACACACACACACACACACACACACACACACACACACACACACACACACCGAAACTACGACGTTGCTATAACGTTCGAACACGTTTTAACACCTCCTAACCAGTTATAACAACCAATATATCAAGTTGTAACAACGTTCTAATACGTCATAAACACGGTAAGCCAAGATGTAACAACTTTATTACAAGTTGTAACAAGCGGAAAATAGAGACAGTTTCGGTTTGTGTTTCCAGGGTTACACATAGCAAGCTTCTTTCTCAATGCGAACTTGATGTGTTATCACTAAACACAAAGTTTTACGGGAGAAATTTGTGTGTCGTCACTAACCACAAAGCTTTACTTGGACAAGACACCAGCAGCCTTCCGTCAGGAAAGGGGCGCTATGTTGGGGCCAACGGAACAGCGGCACAAGACCTCTCCGGACAGCAGTCGCTAAGCAACAGACCCTTGTCGGCACGCCACGTCCTTAGTTGCCGAGTCCACAGATAAGTGCCTCTTACGGAGAGTGACAGTAGGGTGTCCCAAGCTTGATAACTGAGGAATCAGGGCGTGGATATCGCTTCCCCCTGCTATCATAACTCTCACTATA